GTGAATTGCTTTCAGTAGGTTGCAGTCATTCAGAATTTCCCACTCTGTTACATCCCATTTTTGGCACTTGTCACAGTCAATTCCCTGCCTTATCATGACTTTTCACTTGTTCATCCCCAGACTTGGTATGTACAATCTACACCTTTTTGGCTATGTTTCATACACCAGACTATAGTTCTCAAAATGTTTGGTTCTTGCGTTACAGGACTAACTTTGTCCAAAAAATGATGGGACATTCTTTTTGCCCAGTCAGTGTAGTCCACTATGCAGTCCTTTGGAGAACTCAACAGCAGCCTTTTTAAAGGCAGCCTCAATGATATTCTCATGATGTAGAAATGCAGCAGTTTCCAGAATAAGAAGAGTAGCCTGAGCAGCTGCTCTACCATTCCCATCAGATTTCCTGTTTGCCCTTGATTCAATTTCATTGAATGACAAATCCCATGTTTCATAGACTGTACAATTGTACTGAGATGCACCCCTAAATAAAGGGTGGTTCATAAGCTTGTTCCTATGTCGAGAGAGATGCTCAAGGTAATTATCAATATCACAGAGACCAGCTTCAATGGAAGCTCTGGCTTGGTCAACAGCTAGAGGTAAGCAGCAGAGCTCATTTACAATTTGTTGAGCTGTGCTGTAGACATCTCCAGTTAAATGGCTGGCTTTCAGCAAGAGTGATATGGCTTCCTTTTCAGCCATCTGATTAACCTCAAGAGAATTTTCATAGGATGTCACCCACCCAAGAGATCAATTTCTGCTAGCAACCAGAATATTGCCCTGAGAACCAGATGGGATAAACTTTTCTACTACTTCAGGTGCACCACCAGCATTGTCAAACACAAGCAGCCATTCACTCTGCAGGGATCCAATCCAGATAAGAGCAGACTCAGAGGACACAGAGACACCAGCAGCTTTAGCCTCAGAACGAGAGCAAAGACCCTTCAACCCAAGGGCAATAGTATCTTCAGAAGATGCATCAATCCAGAAAACATGAGAGAATCTAGATGTACTTGTCAGAAGATCAGAAATATAGTATGTGAAGAAACTTACCTTTCACCCATATTTTCAATGAGCTTCAGACAAATCTGTGTCTTGCCAATACCCCCCATACCATACAACAAAAAAGACTTCCTGCTTCTATCTACTTGATCTTGAGGTGAAAAGTGATCCATCAGCCTCTTGAGAACATCCTCACAGCCTGTAAATAAGGCACTTGAATTGGGTCTTTGTGGAACGAGGAGTGTATCATCTTGACCCCCACTGGCATGTTCATGGACCTCGATCTTGTAAGTCTAATCAATATCTCAAACAATCAAAGCTGTTGTGACACTACACACATTTTGCGCCACATAGAGTGTTGTATCCCTTATAACTAGTGTTTGGAAGTCCGGTCTCGTGACTGGAAAAAGACCGTAACCAGACTGGACCAAGACGGCAAAGACTGGACCTGCGGTTACAGTCTTTTATTTTTGAGATGTAAAGACCGCAAAAAAACCGGTTAACGTGAACCCGTCTTTTGTAGCCCCTTAAATACCCTTTAAAACGCACCCAAGAACGTACGATTTGGAAAAAAAACGAGAGAGATATGAATTAAAATGTAAATTACTTTTGGGAATAATAGATGTACCAGACTTATTTTATAGAAGCACCAATTCCTAACGGAATTTGACATTCTTGGGCTCGTTGTGAAGCTAATAGATATGTTAATAAATTTACCAATTCATAAATTTAAAATATTAGCCTAAAGACCGGTCATAAACCAGTTAAAACTGATGCAGACCGAAACCGGTCTATAGACCGCCAAAAGACTGCAGACCACGGTTTTTTGTGGTCCGGTCTGGTCTTTTGACTTCTGGGGAAAAGGCAGACCGGTTATGGTTACAGTTAATGCCCCTGAGCATCAAAAAACCGGACTGAACCGGACTTTCAAACACTACTTATAACGAAGTTGTGAGCTCCCAGGAATACATTCTAGGATCCCCAAAGACAAAGGGCATGAGCCAAAGAATTTATTCAAGCATTATAAACATGCACCAGAGACATTCCTCCCCCCATAACCCCTGGCACCCTCATAAATGTGGACCTAAATCTCATCAGGATGCTATCTGTCAGGGTGGGAGTCATGAACTCCAACCTTGAAGCAGTAGGGCGTGGGCAGTCTGCGCCCATGAGCCGGTCAAGCATCCCCTTGAACTTTCCTTTCAAATGATTTTCACAAGGGCAACTAGAATCAGACATTGTGGTTCAGAAGAGAGTTGTGAATGCTGTGCGACGTCAATTGTCCAGATGGGTACATCATTTCACAGAGTCAGCTGATGTCCATTCCTGATTGAGATCCCTCACTGCGCTCCGAGACGTTGACGCGCAATGGTGTGGGTGGGCGTCAACTCAGCGAGGGGGCACCAGAAAGGATGGCAGTCAACAGAGAAGTGTGAGAAAAACAAAGAAAACAACACTTTTCAGCGGATATTTACAAGAGCAGGAGATCCACTATGGAGACTCCACCAGAAACCTAGAACAAACATTAAATTACATTGAGAGCCAAAAGACGGGTGCACATACCTAGCTTCTTCACCACCATCCAAGTAGACCTTAGCAATCCCTGTCTCGCTAGACGCCATTCCAGCTCTACCTCCTCTCATCCATCCTTGGTGTTCCTCACATTCCTTCTCATCCCTCTCCCTACTATCATCCTCACTAGATCCAGTTGTAATTCATATCCTGTAGGAGGACAAGGATCCACTGCGGCTGACGACAAACGATGGGGATCACAAGGATGATCTTGGTTTCCTGCAGCTCGGGCCTTGCCTCGCAGATCCTACCAAAGACCAACCAATTAGCTCATCATCAAGAGGGGAGGCATGATGTCGTACCAAGCGGTTATGCGAAACTCTATTGTCAGGCCGATGGAATGATTACAATCAAAGATCCAAAGTCCCACCTACCGAAGTATCGAATGATGGAAGCACAATGAGGCATCTGTGCACCACTGGAGTTTCTTGGGTTGGATTATTGTTGTTACGGCGAGCTGTCGGTACAGCTGCGGAGTGCTGAGATGTAAGTGGGGCGAGCCAAAAAGCAGCATCATCATGAAGTTCAGGGCAGTCAATCACCGCAGGAGTTGGTATGGGTGAGTGACCCACCTTCTGGTAATGGTGCTTTAGAAAGGGAAGCATCACTCAAACCATGGATGCTCACCTGATAAACAGCACAAATCGTCTACCGTTGCATGACTAGCCTCTCCTCTGCACTGTAAAAATGTACAGTTTATTGTTTGTCGTCTTGAAAGTGGTGTTACAGGGAGCTTTCCGGTCTAATAATATCCCAAAACACCTGTGTTGAGTTCATGGGGGGGTATGGTGCACAATGTGAACTGTAGGATAGATGATCAGAAGATGGACACTTTAAGGAAAGTAGATGAAAAGAGGGCACGCACATAAACTTCAGTGACAAGACAATCGCCTCTCCGTTTGTCATTGATCTTTCACTTCACTCAAAGGGTGGTTGATGTGGGTTTCCAAATCAACTGTGGACCAGGATTATGGTGATGAGACGTTCATGGAAAACAAGGACATGAGGGCTGTGAATGAAAAAGTAGTTGAATGAATCGGAATAGATAGCCCTCCACCGGTTTGAAAGCTTGTGCGCCATGCGCGAACTTGCAATTCCGTGTCAGGTTTACTCTCAATGAGCAATGACAGATCAAATACTCACCCAGCGAATGTTGAGCAGGAGAACTGGACAGCTCTGCAAATGTAACAAGAGATTCCCAGGCACGTGAATGGTAAGCTAGCAAAGTTGGTGGAGATGTTGGTGGTCAACAATCAAATCCGTGTTGAACGTTTGTTTTGGTCGTTCTCTCTTTCCACTACCTCGACGAGTTGACAAATTTCACTGTTCCCGCATATAACCACAACAAATGTTCCCCATGCCAACTGCCTTGTTTAATCCTCGGACTGTTGATATTGTATGCATCTAGCCACCTCCGAAGCTCCCCAACCTACGTGCAGGTGCCTCCCTCATTCATTCTTTCCATTTTGCAATGAGGGGGAATCCTCATCATAAATCGGGACCATTTGCTGCATCACGGTCGTTTGCAGCTCTCGAAGCTGATGCTTCATATGTATACATTCTCACAAAAGGCAGCCTGCAAGAAAAATCAATGGCACATCCGGGAACGCCAACTGGACTTATAGATTGGGACCAGCTCGTTGATCTGCATGCTTGGCTTACAGGATGCAAACATTGCATTGGCATCTACCATGGACACTCTCTTAGCCTCTCCCCTCAGGCCTAGAAGAACTCGACACACCGATCTCTGCAACTTTTCAGTTCCTCTCATCAGTTCTTGCACCCGACAATGAAAGAATCTATGCCTTGCAAGTGGGCATGGCGACTAATAGAAGGGGAGTCGATTAGCGTTGAGGGTTTCAAGGGAGGTGGTGGTGAGGTTGCCCAAGTGTCTGCAGAGGACAGCGGTGTCCTCACTCCCAACCACCCTGTTGAAGAATGAAATTGGTCACTCAAGTGAGCGAAAACTGGCCCCTCTTCAAATTAGCTACCCTCTCAGACGAAGATGCTCAGGCTGACGGTGGACAAACCTTTGAATCCACCACCTATTCACACCTTCTTGCCCACTCCCAAACTCAGGCGATTCATCCTGCTGGGCTCTGGGCACAGACACTTCTTCTTCCCCCTCCTCACACACCACATACTCACTATCCACGCAGATCTCATGTTGGTGGACAAACTTGTGCCGCAGGGCATGCTAGACCTCATACTCAGCAAGACAGAACTCATTGCCACGAAGAAGTTCCCCAGGAACAGATAAAAGCTGATGCATCTCGCTGTGGGAGGTGTATGGGGTTGTGCATCGTTTGCGTATGTTCTTTCTCTCTGGGTATTTGTCTTGTCTTGAACTTACTCCCACTATGAAGGTAAACCAAGTTGATCCCTTTATCACAACCGCTCCTCTGAAGAGGTACTTTTCTTCCGTGCACATGGGCTCAAGTCCCTCATTGTTTCAGGTGTCTCCTCTGCCTTGGCCAGGCCAACGGTGGTACCCCGCTCATGCACCGCAGTGTAGCCAGGAGCGTGATTGTGTGAGGAGGGGTGGGAGCAGGATACAGATGCCAGAGTATGAAAGGGGCAAGATGTTGGTTATCTTGGTGGGTGTTACGAGGTTGCAGGGGGTTGTTTATGCAGTTTTGGGTGTTTCCTCGTGACTGGGCCTACTCCTGCTCCTATGGCCAAGACTTCTACGTCTTCTACTACTACCACCGCCACAGCAGCAGCAGCAGCCCCATACACCCCAACTTGCCATCCCAGTCACTATCATCACATGCATGTCAAGGCCCGATCAACACTTCACAAGGGGCACTTGGTCAAATGTCCTACAAGCTCTCGAGGGGACCACAGCACCCCCCAGGAGTATTTATTCTGGGATGAGCGTCTTGGGGTTATAGGGTGACAGTGCAGCCGTGGAAGGGGTGTCGGATGAGGGAGAGGGTGATGAAGGGGCAGAGGGCCAAAAGTGGCAAGGTGGGGAGGGGTGGAGGGTGAGGAAGAGACCTCATGACGCATGGGTGGGGTTTGATATGGGGTGGCCTCAATGTGTTGTGAGTTAGTTGTACTTGAGCAAGTTTTCCTTGTGTTGTTCTGGAGTATTGATTTGGTGCTCATCTTAGTCTTTTTTTACAGTACACTCTGGAGGAGAGGAGGCCTTGGAGTAGCTTCTTCTAAATCTTATGGACACTTTGATTGCTTGCGAAAAGCTTCAGCGAGAAATCATCTTCACCTTCATCCTCCGACTCAACCATTGCTCAGGACTTTTTGGAATGTTTAGACATTCCATTGTCATTGCAATTGGTGGCCTTGGCCTTCCTTGTAGTGCTTCCAGCATCAGCATCTTTCATTAGCTTGGCTTTTGCTGGTTCACCAGATTTCTTCCTCTCTTTCTTTTCTGTGACAGATGCAGAAGCATTGTCATGTTTCCTCTTCTTCCCTTCTTTCTTGCCTGGTAAATCAAGGGATCAGCATGTCACTGACAACGATAAAAACATAATGCAAACCTGCAGCCCATTAAACTTCTCCATTCTCTATCTGAGATCATACCCTCTTTCTTCACAAGCCACATTGCAGGGTCTAGAGCAATATGGTACCCATTCAACTGCTCTGACAACTTTTTGTGGGGCTCCGAGACGAACAACTTGATTTCGTGTAGTTGGAGCTTCAACATGTCATTCTCAACTGACCATGCACTACATGCAACATGTCGGTGTGGGCACATCCGGGGGGAGAACACATGGAAAAAAAGAGCACAGTGCATAGGGAAGAACCTGATGCAGTAAAACGTGGCCTGTAGCAGACGAAGGCACGGATGGACTAATAAGGGAGGTTAACACCAATGAAGGCAAGGTGAAGGCCCTGGCCCATGTTTTCTTCCCAAAGAAGCCGGACGTCTCAAGAGTACCAAGAAACTTCGACTACCCTGACCCGCTTCCAGCACTGCCACCCATCACCCCAGAACAGATTGAGTGCCAAATCAAAAGGCCATCACCCTTCAAGGCATGTGGCCCAGACAAATCCCC